TTAGTTTTTTCAATTCATTTTTTCTCATTTTTCTTTCCGTACCATATATTCATACCTACGAGACACTTATTTACTAAAAATTATAAATAAAGCAAGTAAATGATCACCAATAATATAATATGATAACATAATAGTAAAGCAAAATAATAAAATAAAATTAAGAACAACATGCAATTACAGATTGATATAATTATTTATGGAAGAGTATGATTGAGGACGAAATTAAAAAAAAAAAAAAATATATATATATATATATATTCAATTGTAAGAATAAAAAATTAAGTGCATATATTAAATAGTAGTTATATGAATGATTAAGTGCTTTTTTTATTTTTCTTTTCTTTTCCTTTCCTTTTTATGGTTTTTTTTTTTTTTTTTTTGAACGGCCTTTTTATGGTTTTCAATTGAACAGGTACTGGAAGGAGGATTACAAGATGCTTGGAAAGAAATATATACCATAAAAAAAGATGTTTGTAAAGATAAATAGTCGATTAGTAAAAAAAAAAAACGTTAGAATTAATATTGAGAAACAAGCGTTTTAACAGTACCATGTGTTTTATTATATTTACAAAATTAAACGAAGGATTTAGTTAACTAATACGGCCAACTTTAACAATATGAGGCCTTTAATGATAGATAATCAATTATATTAATTTGGTTAATGGCTTCAGAATCATAATTCATTATGTTGATTTTTGAAATTTAAATTTTTTATGAGAGAAAAACACTATAAAAAATCAATAATCATGATTCAAAATTAAAGACGAACCTTAAAACAAACATCACATTTAGGTTTCCTAATAATAAGGGGCTTTAGACAACTGCCTTGACGACGTTGTCCTTTTAAGTCGGCATTGACACAAATTGAAGAATTATAAGTTCTTACTTTTACGGGGAAACGTGATTTCCTACCTCACATTACTCCATGTTTTACTCCTAACCACCCTAAAAACAACCAAAAATAAACTTTCTTCCCTCTTAACATAAATTAAAGAGAAGCTTATATCCTTTTGCTTTTGTGCTATATATATAAACCAAAGTAACAAGTACCTCCCATTCCAAATCCCTCAAAGCAAACAATCACAAGAACTATCAACCAAGAAAGAAATTACACATCACAAAAAAAAAAAAAAAATGGCCTCCAAAATCACCATCCCGGCACTTCTGATCGCGACGCTGGTCGTCGCGGCGGCGATCGTTGAAACGGGCGAGGCGCTCTCGGAGTGCGCCAAGCAGTGCATGCCCGTGTGCCTGAAGGAGCAAGGCGCAACCATTCCAGTGTGTGAGACTGCCTGTGAGAACTACTGCCAGCAATCTTCAGACAACGGCGGCCAAGGTGGAGGAGGTGTTGTTTAATGCAATCATATATATATATATATATATATATATATATATGACCAACAGCCAAATTTTATAGTACAACTGCAATATAATTATAGACAGAGCTATGCAGATTTAGGAGTGTGATTACAAAGTTTGATCACCTATTAATATTATTCTGGAATAATGTGGCAATTTTCTGATGATTATGCACGTCAGATATACATATATATATATATATTATATATATATATATGTACGTATGTATTTCGACTTAGTTGGCAGATAAAGTTTTTGTATGTGTGTGTATGTTAAGTTAAACTATGTTATAAAGACGGTTCTAGTTATTTATCGTCATATATTGTTATTTGACGTTTGGTTTATGAATTCAGAACTATAATTTAAAATCATTATCGATTTACGTGTATTTTTTGTGAAAAATAATACTGTAGTGAGTCACGAACCATGATTCAAACCATGACACAAATATTCATACCAAACACTATGTAAACTCGAAATAATTTAACATTGTGGTTGATGTTCAAACTGAAAGCAAAATCCTTAAAAAAATAGTTATGCCAATCTTTGCATAACTTAAAAAAAAAAAAAACATTTTGCTTATTCTTTTCCTCTTCTGAAAATTAATATATATGGTTCTTATATTAACCTTGAACGTACGTGATCAAGATTATATGTATACAGTACTGTTCCCTTACAAAGAAAAGATAATAATTTATTGCAATTGCGCCAATAAATACACATATATAAGCGTTGTCTTAAGTTCCACAGTCAGACTGAAACAACGCCTATAAGGTTCGCTCAAAATCATGTCCCTTAAAGTGAAGGATATGTAATAAAAAAAAAAAGTTGAAATTTGTAACATTGTGGCAAAAGCTTAAATCCAATTCAATTTGGAAACCTGTGTCGTAAGAGGATTTTGGTGAAAGAATGAATAAGGTGAACAATTGGGTTCCGCCTTCAGGTAAAAACTATATGCAGTAACAATTCTTATAAAATATAACATAAGTGGTGTAAATGAAGAATCCAATTCAATTTTGTAACAAGTGGTATAAGGATTTAGGTGAAACCACCATGAAGAAAAATTAGGCTGAAATATATACAACTGTATCAGCAACATGGTCAAAGCTCAAACAAGATTTGAGCATTGACTAAAAAATGAGTAATTGATGGTGCTGTGATAAGTGGTAATTATGGATTCAAGCAAAAAATGTGGTAATTATGGAGGTAAAACGTTGGAAGATATGAAGAGCATAAACTATAACTAGTAGACAAAAAAATATTACTAGATAATTAATCAGATGCTCAAAAAGTTTGAAATATAATATCAATTGAGTAAATTCCAAAACAAGTTCATTGTTATAGATAGATAAAGGTTCAAGTTATAGATTAAATAAATCAGACGATACATGTTGTTACACAAAATGTTACAAATTATGTCGTTCTTATTTTACCTTTTTTTCAGGTTTTTGTTTGTTTCAACATTCGAACCACAACTCAAATTTTTTATTACAGTATTTTCTCTCATAAAAATTTAAATTTAATTTTTTTATTATAGAGTTTTTTTCTGAAATAATACATTTTGTTACACAAAATGTTACAAACCGATAAATCGTGAGAACCTTTTCAATAAACAATTATTTACAATAAGAATCATGGCATTTTGTCCTTGTTCTTCTTAAGCTTGGATAATAATGTTTATCCACTTCCAAGAAAAAATTATCCACGTTTTATTTTTCTTTCCCATGAGAAAACACTTTTTTTTTATTGTCTTTGATATACCGTCTTATTAGTAAGTCTAATTTTTTAATCGTTAGATCTAATTAAATTTAAATGAGATTAAAAAAATATATAGAATAAATAATTTTTAATATTTACAAATTTAACGGTTAAAAAAATAATAAAATTATTAATAATTTTATTTTTTTAATCTTACGGAAAAACTCCCTGTTTTTTTTATGTTGAGGAAAAAAGTAAAAATTGACCTCATAATATTGAACGTCAAGAATCAGAAATTCTCAACATGAACAACAACAATCGCGATCTGCATTTGATTACTGTGGATCCCACTATACAGAATGATGTCCTGGAAGGAAAAGGAATCAGACCGAACATGGAGCAATTACAGAGCGCCACGTAGGATAGAGTCAACGAAATTAGTGATAACATCTTTATTCTCTATGGATTTGTTTAGTTTGCCAATTTCTAATTTGAATTAAAATATAATTTTATGTGAGAATTTTTTACTGTAATAAAAAATTAAGAGAACGTTTAATTGATAGATTTAAAATTATAATTCAGAACCATTCTCAATTTATGTGTAGTTTTTATGAGAAAAAATACTACAGTGAGTCACGAATCATGACACGAATTTTTAAACTAAACACACTCTAAATGTGACTATTTTTGAGAGCTTTTAAACGTAATAAAACACAAATTAGTAAAATGAACGGAATCTATATATCTTATTCGGATAAATACCGTTGTGGTACTACTTCCATACACCGTAGACGTCCCTTTCTCTGAGTTTTGCCACCGCTTTGACGCAAACGTGCGCCTGTTCGGTGTAAAATGCGCCAAAAACCGATCACAAGCTCAGCGTTGACATCAACGTGCGCTATGTGACACCGGCGTATGTTAGCCTAACCTTATTAGACAGAATTAAAATCACAAAAGATCCCTGAACCTTTTCCGACTCTCTAAAACTAGCCCTTTTGTTGAAAGTTATATCAAATTTATAATTTAATTCTCAATGGGCAAGTCCAAAAACTTTTTTGTTTTTGTTTTTGTTTTTCTCTCTTTTACAAGCAGTTGGAAATAACCCATTTAAAAAGTCATATCAAATTTCTAATTTAGTTTCTAATAGGCAAGTCAAAAAACATTTTTTTTTCTTTTTACAAGCAGTTAGAAATAGTTGTGTATACCCATTCAAAAAAAAGTTGTGTATTATAGACTATAATCTTTTTGCTCACGCTTGATATTTGCAGGTATCTAGGCAACAATATTTTCATTTTGATCGTGATTTGTTACAACTTATTATACTTTTGCGTTGGAACTATAAATAGAATGTAAAACTCAACTGCATGTTAATATCAATTTTTTTGTCACTTTTTATATTTATTATTTAACACGTAAGTTTTATTAACATAATATATTATTATTTAAATAAAAAATGAGATAGTAGAGTGAATACAAAGAATGATAAAAAAATCACAGAAATAATGATGCTATTATTTCTCCATAACTCAATTTTGTTTTGGTTTTATGATAATGTGTTTATACACTTTTGTTATTTAAAGGGTTAATTCTAAAATATGTACTTTTTAGTTCAAGAACTAATTTTAGTACAATTTCCTATTTTTAATGTTTTCTTATTTAAAAATTAAGAGTCCGTTTGTTTTATATATTTAAACTCAAATTATAATTCTGTTATAGTATTTTTTTTACAAAAAATTTAATTTTTAAATGTTTGAATCAAAAATTATAGTTTGCGTAACGAGTCTTAAATTTGAGATCTCTTAACAACAGGGCTATTTATAGAAAGAAAAAAAAGGTTGAGGGACCAAATTTTATTAAAAAAATATTTTGCGCAGGTTAAGAATGTCACTGAATGCTCGTACAAAATCTCTCTCTCTCTTCCCGGTGCTTAAATCATCCACAGTTTGTTGTAGTCACAGGTTCTATTGCTCAATTTCGCATTCTATTTCCGTTTCTCTCTCTCGATATTTCAATTCTGTTTGGATGTAACAACCACTGCGAATCTCATTTCAGAACTTCACCGATAGTTTCCATTTTAGGGTTTTAGTGAATCTGCTGTTCAATTGCCTTACGCTTGTTGTTTGGATTCAACGGACAATGCTATGCGATTCAGCAATGCTATTTTGCTTCATTTGATCGGTAATGTTGGGGATTTGATTTTTCTTTTATATCGTTTTTAATTAGTTGAAATTGAATGGGTAATGTTGAAATACCCAATTGGCTAGAAGGGTTGCCTTTGGCACCGGAGTTTCGGCCTACTGATACCGAATTCGCCGACCCGATCGCTTACATATCGAAAATCGAGAAGGAAGCTAGTGCTTTTGGTATTTGCAAGATTATACCGCCATTGCCAAAACCATCTAAGAAATATGTTTTTAGCAACTTGAATAAGTCGCTCTCCAAGTGCCCTGAATTGGGTTCTGTCGAGAATTTGTCGAATGATTGTCCCTCCTCGTCGAAAACGGGTTCCCTTGATGGGAGTAATGATGGGGAGGTTAGAGCAGTGTTCACCACTAGGCACCAAGAGTTGGGTCAGAGTGTGAGAAAAACAAAAGGGGGTGTTCAAAATCCGCCTTTGGGTGTTCAGAAGCAAGTATGGCAAAGTGGGGAGATATATACTTTGGAGCAGTTTGAATCCAAGTCCAAGGCTTTTGCTAAAAGCCAATTGGGAATGATTAAGGAGGTTTCACCATTGGTTGTAGAGGCAATATTTTGGAAGGCGGCTTGTGAGAAGCCTATATATTTAGAGTATGCAAATGATGTGCCTGGCTCTGGCTTTGGAGAACCGGAGGGGCAATTCCGCTATTTCCATAGACGTAGGAGAAAGAGGAACTTTTACCGGCGAAGCAGAGATAACTCTAGTTGCAAGAGAGATGAAATGGTTAGCGATAGGATAGCTGTTTCAAAAACCAATGATGTTAAAGATTCTGCCCCTAAGAATGATTCTGATTCATTTGTAGATGTATCCAAACCACCTACTTCTCTACCAGTATTGCCTTGTAATGAAACTCCACAATCGTCTAAGAAAAAGAGTCAAAATTCTTGTCATGATAAGGAAGGCACTGCGGGTTGGAAGCTCTCAAACAGTCCTTGGAACTTGCAAGTGATTTCACGTTCACCCGGCTCCCTTACTCGTTTCATGCCGGATGATATTCCGGGTGTTACTTCTCCTATGGTGTACATTGGCATGTTATTCAGTTGGTTTGCATGGCATGTTGAAGATCATGAGCTTCACAGCATGAATTTTCTTCACTCTGGATCTTCAAAGACTTGGTATTCTGTCCCCGGAGATTATGCATTTACTTTTGAGGAAGTTGTGCGTTCTGAGGCCTATGGTGGTAATATTGACCGCTTAGGTATGTATGTTTTTTCTCTGAGCACTTTAATAATTGGCTATAAACTCAGTGGTCCTAGAAAACTACAAAAAACACTTGATCTCTCCCTTTGCTCCGATTTTAAGAGGTGGCCTTATAACTGATTGTCTGATTCTTTATTAGGCTATTTAAAATACAATGACTAGTATGTTATTTAAAGATAATGAAGCCAAGCTTCCGGTATTTCGACTTACATGGACCATCTTAACCATAAAAAGCATTTCTCTATGTGAATACTATTTCTGAGAATTTGATTCATTAAATTAAAATCCTGCAGTTGTGTGTTATTACTTTGGTATCATCTTTGTAACTCAGGTCCAGTTTCTCTTATTGCCAGCTGCACTCGCATTGTTGGGCGAAAAGACTACGCTAATGTCCCCTGAGGTGGTTGTTGCATCAGGAATACCATGCTGCAGGTAAGGTGCCCTGTTTTTGTTCGTTGATTCTTTTACCATATTATAGCTAGAAAACTAACGGTGCTAAGGATCTAAAAAGAAAAAGGAAAAAAAGAAACAAGATTTATGATTAAAAACATTTAGGGTTTTATTTGTGACATTTAATGGTTTTTTTTTTTGTTTTTCCTGATCGGTTTTGACGTTATACTCATGTCTATTATTGTTTCTTCTTTAGGTTGGTACAGAACCCTGGTGAATTTGTTGTGACTTTTCCAAGGGCTTACCATGTAGGATTCAGCCACGGTAATCACTGGTTTTATGATTGAAAATTTTAGATTTTGTGTTGATTATGCTGCTCCTACTTTTTATATGAGGCAGATGTATTTTAGATGAGTGACATTAATAATGTGAAGGACTAAGCTTTTGAGAACACAGTTATCTATTATCGATCTTTGAAACTTTGAAGTTGGAGCATCAGTAGCATACAGGAGGAGTTTTCCACCAGAACAGTTATATGCGTAATTGTAGTCTGCTCCGACATTGTGATATGGTTTTTCCGGTTAATCTACATGTAATATTTGTTCTTTGCTGTATTTATGTAACTATTTACTGTTGTATCTTCTTACCAACTCATCATTTATAAGCCGTTTTAATTAGGAGTTGGAACTTGCTTTTGTTCTCATTTTCCCTCCATATTAGGTATTTGATCGATTACTATAACTTTTTGTTTCTGGTGCTCAGGGTTTAATTGTGGGGAAGCTGCTAACTTTGGAACACCACAGTGGCTCAAAGTGGCTAAAGAAGCTGCAGTACGTAGAGCTGCTATGAATTATCTTCCTATGCTTTCCCACCAGCAGTTGCTATACCTTTTGACCATGTCTTTCGTGTCAAGGTCAGTTTGTACCCTTATTTTGGCATACATTTTGGAAATCTAAATGTACATGATTGCATAGCAAGCTTATGAATTGTGGTTACTGGACCTGTTCATATGTTTTCTTAAATGTTTTACTCCATTTTTGCCTTATCGGCCTTTCCATATTCCTTCAATAAAAGATGTCAAGTGGCGACCTGCCGCAACACCTAATCATTTAGTGTTTCTCATGTTTGCTTTGCTTGAATTGTTTTGACACCAGAGTGCCAAGATCCTTACTACCCGGTGTGCGGAGTTCACGACTTAGGGATCGCCAGAAGGAAGAAAGAGAGTTACTAGTAAAGCAGGCATTTATTGAAGATATTTTGCATGAAAACAAAACACTATCTGTGCTTCTCGGAAAAGATTCAAGCTATCATGCTATACTATGGAATCCTGATTTATTGACATATCCGAGCAAAGAGTCCTTATCACCCATTGCAGGTGCTACTGATAGTACGCCAGCAACAGAAAATCCTCAAAAACACAACGGCGAGCAGCACTATCTTGTTAATGAGATGAGCTTGTATATGGAGAATATGAACGATTTGTATTTCGATTGTGATGATTTATCATGTGACTTTCAAGTTGATTCAGGGACGTTGGCATGCGTAGCTTGTGGAATCCTTGGTTTTCCGTTTATGTCTGTGGTGCAGCCATCTCAGAAAGCCTCAGAGGAACTTCTCCATAATGAGCATGCTTTGGTTCAAGAATGCCAAGGAATATCGGGATATTTGAATTCTTGTTCCTTTCAAGACCTCGATGCTTCTAATAAGTGTTATGTAGCAGGTATTTGATCCGGCGAACTTTCTCTTGCCTTGTGTTTGTCCTTTTATTTGGGCCCATTGGTAAAACTTAAGCCTGATTGCCACCCACCATGGATATTTTAACTGATATGAAATATCAATAGCTAAACTTCTAATTTCTTTCCTATTAATACGTGTAGGTTGGTTGTCCAAGTGAAGAGTAGTATATTTTTGAATTGTAGGCCTTAGACTATTTGGGTCCCCGTTATAGATCTCTCTGTAATAGTTCTTTCAATAATTTTTCTTAAACTTTTCTCCTTTTGTTTTTGGAGGTTCCATTTTTATTTTCATGGTTACCGCACTTTCGATTGGGTAGCATGAGTAATTATTTCGGAGCTGCCCTATTTTCTGATGAAGAGGCCTACTATCGTTGTTATCTTTTATTTATTTTGGAACCTTAGGATTTGCTAAATATTTCATTCACCCAACAATATCAGAAAAGAATGGAAAATAATAACTAGTGATTAGTCACTCTCACTTCGTCAGGATATTCAAATGACTATGTTTTCCTTTTGCATTATGAAATCATTCAAATGGAAGGGTTTTTAGAAAATTATTTTTCAACAGTGAAAGAGTTCTTGAAGTTTACAGATTTTCCGTGATTCTAGAATATATTATTAGAGGGAATTTCCCAATTCAGTTATTGATGTGGAAATTTATATGTAATGGTAAACAATCCTAATTGGATGTTTTAAGCACCAAGTCAATTTTTAATTTTCCTTATTCTGCAGAGAATCCTCCTACTGTTTCTAATTCGTCATTGATGGTGGATCTTCCATTGCCTTCAACAATCATGTCTAAGAATGGTTGGAATGCTAATAATAAGTCACTTAGACCACGTAGTTTCTGCCTGGAGCATGCTGTTGAAATTGTGGAGCTTTTGCAGAGTAAAGGGGGAGCGAATGTGATTGTAATTTGTCATTCTGGTAAGATTCTCTTATTATTTATTTTCTAGTAGGCCTTGTACTTTCGTCTTCCATAAAATTTGGCTAGTTTTGCAAATTAAATTTTGGGAATTTAATTACCAGTCGATCAGCAATGTAGTTTATATAATTTCTCATATCCAAATTGCATCACTCCTTGTCCACTAGTTGATTTCACGGGTTAGGATATGTCCACTAGAGCTATAGAGAAATGAACTGTTTTAAAGTTTCCAACTTTATTCAATTGCAGTAAGTTGATTATTTACCTTTTTGATTTGTGCAGACTATCAGAAAATAAAGGCACATGCTACCACCATTGCAGAGGAAATTGGTAGTCCTTTTAATTATAGTGAAGTGCCACTAGATATTGCATCGAAGGACGATCTGAACTTGATAGATCTTGCAATTGACAACGAAGAACATGATGAATGTGGTGAAGACTGGACATCAAAATTGGGGATAAATTTACGGCACTGTGTCAAGATAAGAAAGAATTCTCCTTCTAAGCAAGTTCAGCATGCTTTAACTTTGGGTGGCCTGTTTTCTGATAAATGTCCCAGTGTGGATTTCTTAACCATCAAATGGCAGTTGAGGCGGTCTCGTTCGAAAAAGATCTGTCTGCCAGACCATTTTAAACCATGTGATACCATTCAATTAAAGAATGATGTAGCAATGGGAGAAAGGTCTCTCTCTGTCAAAAAAGAGAAAAAACTAATTCAATATTCAAGAAGGAACTTTAAGAAAAAACCAGGTGGTTCGACAGGAACTCCTAAGGTGTGTGTAACCGGTGCTTCTCTTGGTGATCTTGATGAACATAACAGAATAGTGTCTGAAAATAACATTCAAAATGACGGGAATTCCACAGGCTTTGACGTTTCCCCTTCATATGAGAATGAAATCCAGATGCTTGAAGCAACTGAGGATGAGAACTCGAAAGATGGTGTTGCATGTGTTGAGACACAAATTAAGAATCACGTTTTGGAGGACACGAATACAGGTCATTTTGCAGCACTGGATGATTCTGAGATGGAAGATGAGCCCAATGTTGAGACCCAAAAGGTCAGCAGCACTGATGAACTCAGGGAAGAACAATATGCTTCCCCATTTGTCAATGATACACAGAAAAGCTTTCAAGCACATGAAGAGAAGCAAATAGTGGGACAATTCAACAGAGTCAATGAGGTGTGTAGTCTTGTCTCCGAAAGGCACTCTGAGGTCCAGGTTGACAAGGATGTTTTGGACAATACGGTGTCCAAGTTTTCTAAGATGTCTTGCTCACATGTTGACCCCTGTGACGAAAACTTTGAGGGACAGAGAGCGAATGCAACCGTGGACAAGGGTTGCAAATGTGATGAAGTTTGTGATTCCCTTCCTGTGGAAGCACAAGGAGTGCACGCTACTGGAAATAAAGACAAGAAAGAATTTCCATGTAATTCTACAGCCATAAAGGATCAGGAACAATGCTGTGAAGGTCCAAGGCAGAGCTGTTCTGCAGGAGACTCCAGTAATCACATATCACTAGAAGTAAAACCACCGCAAGAAATCAGAACTGTAATAAACGAACACTCTCTTGTCTCAATAGAAGAAATTTATGAAGTTCCAAAGGAGACCTGTTCTACCGAAGGCCTTGGCAATTACGCTTGTTTAGAAGTTAAACCAGAGCAAGAAATCAAAACCACCATAACTGAGGTTGTTTCTGCATCAATAGAAAAAATCTCTGAAATTCCAAGTGATGTCTCTGCTGCCTTAAAATTATGCTACAGTTTGACGTCAGATGAGGAATTGCAGCAAAAACTTGAATCTGCTGCTGGGAGTAGTGAGGAACTTGCTTCAAGTTCTGTGACACAAACGGAAGCCCATCATCCTTGTGTCTCAGCAGAGGAATACTCTAATGTTCCGAGGGGAATCTCAAGGGAAGAAGACTCAGGCAATGATGTGACTTCAGACAATGGTTCTCGGCGGGAAACCTTGATGGAAAATCCAGATCAGGGTTTGGTCTCTAATCTTGCTATACAAGCAAGAAATCAGCCCATACCTGTAAATGTGGAAGAATTTGAAGTTACAAACCATGCTAAAGATCATCTGGGTGATAATCTGACTTTCAACAATAACAGAGAGAGGGAAATTCAATCCATGAACGATGAAGAGAAAACTGATTTGCCAACTGCTATCCCGTTCCAAAAATATTATAGAGTCAAAAGAGATTCTCGTTCTACAGAGGACTTGTGCATCGGCAGTGAAGTTTGCTCACCACAGGATGATAGAGAGCTGGAGATTATCGACTCAAACATGGGGAAAGCAAGAAAAAGAAAGAGAGAATTAGAGCAACTAACAGAAAGCAAGTTTAGTTGCAATGGCTTCATTCGGAGTCCATGTGAAGGATTAAGACCAAGGACTGGAAAGGATGCAGCAACAAGCAGCAGTGGAATCGACATTGATGGAGAGGTCAAGGAAAAGCCTGCAACTAAAGTAAAGAAGTCTACAAATGCTCGAGGTCCTACCAAGGATAAGAAAGAAAACTCAAGGAAGTCTCACAAGTGCGACATAGATGGCTGCCGTATGAGTTTTGACACAAAGGCTGAGCTAAATGTGCACAAACGCAACCGCTGCCCGCACGAAGGGTGTGGGAAGAGGTTTAGCTCCCACAAATATGCAATGATTCATCACCGCGTGCATGATGACCAGAGGCCCCTCAAGTGCCCATGGAAAGGTTGCTCCATGTCATTCAAGTGGGCATGGGCAAGGACGGAGCATATACGTGTGCACACTGGAGAGCGACCATACCAGTGCAAGATTGAGGGCTGTGGCCTTTCTTTCAGGTTCGTATCCGATTTTAGCCGGCATAGACGGAAAACAGGGCATTATGTAAACTAACGTGCCTCAAAATTTGTTGTTTTGGTTTGGGCTGGTTCTGTGATATGTTGTAAAGGAAATGGGGTGACTCACAAATTCTTGATTCAGGTTTAGATTAGGGAGAGATTTAACTTTTTGTAGGTGTCATTTTCCATTCCCCATTTGTTTCAACGCACCAATAGTTGAAAGCCCTTTTCTGGTGAGTTACCCTTGATTGCTCTTTATTTGAGCTTTCTATCAAGTGTACAACCTTTGGCCATGGCCACAACCATTCTATCAAGTGTTCTAGCTACAAGTGATGGTGCCTTTTTAATTACTAGCTGGATGTCTAGATTGTTCTTTTTATCGGGATGAGAATGGAGAAAAATATTGTTCTTGTTTTGTGGGACCGTAGTGGTTGGATCCCTAGGTTGTTCACACTTTTGGATAGGAGCCAAGAAAGTCAAGTTGATTGCCGACTTTTTTTTTACTTTGGTGTCTCAATGGAAGAACAATGCTAGGAACACTAACTTCAATCTGAACTTGTGTATCAATTTATGAGGTGGTGTGATTATTGATAGGTGTTTAAAAAATTATCACATATTGCACCTACCAAATTACATAAAAATATAAATATATATCCAATTACATAAAAATAATGCAATATCAATGTGGATATTCTACTCGATGAAAAGGTACTTTTCCCTCTTCACCTGTTTCAAATTATTTTCGTCTATTAGAGCATCCTTCTGCGATCAATAACTCTTCCACCGGCCAGTATATCTGCGTATGGTTGATATAACTACCACTTGCTGTAATCCGAAACATCATTTTTGGTATGGTCCAATAGAATAATACTACCATATTCCTTTCCACTTCAAACACAAACACCCCCACCCCAACCCACCCCCCAAAACACCAAGTCCCTCCCACAGTGTCTTATCTCATAGAAGGCGTGTTTCCCCAAGAGCTATGAATGTCTTTCACCGACCGTCGGTCATGTGTCTATCGACGATCGGAGTTGATTGTTGCTCTATAGCTACTCTCCCTTTCTCCTCCCTTCCCACCGACGGATGGACCTTCCCGTCATCGACCGAGCATGCTTTACAATCTCCACCGATGGAGGCCGGTGAGATCTAGTCAATGATCTCCACCAAAATAACTCGCGGGCAGATATGGCTACCACCTCACGCCATGCCACCAACAAGTGCAGCTCCTTTGTGCAAAGCTGTCACTAGATCCGGTCATGATCTCTGTCGCCGCCAGTGGTTCTCAATCCTCATTTGAATTTTTATGTTTTTCCCTTTCGTTGTTCTTTTACCTTTTGTTCTTCAATGTTTCTTATTAATCTGATATGTGGTTCGGAAATCTTTATTAATATGATAGCCATTGGTTAAATAAAATACGCATTATTTGCGGAGTATTTTTATTCTCTTACAAACCAGTGGTTTTCTTAAAAACATGCCAATGGTTTACTTTAAGGGTGATTCTACTCACACCCTTTTTTTTACTCTCTACACCTCCCTTCTAACTACACACCTCTCATAATCTTAAAATGATTAAATTTACTTTTTACACGCCCCTATTATTCCAAAACTAACCTTACCTGCTTTGATATAGATTAATTTTTTACCACTTTATTTTTATCTTCTCCCCACTATTTTATTTTAATTTGTTGTTTAAAAAAACAAAAATAAACCAAATGGCATAAACTCAAAAATAATAATTAAGTTGAACAAATTGACAAAATAATTTTTCGTAAGAAAGGGCAAATAATCATCTTATATTAACACGTATGATTAGAAAAGATAAAATGGTAAAAAAATGCCAAACTTGTTAAGTAGCACATGAGCATGGAAAAAAAAAGAGTGAAACAAAAAAAAAAAAAAAACGCAGTCAACTTAACTTTATAAAAAAAGAAAAAAAAAAACAGAGAGAGAGAAGAAAAAAATGAAGGATTATTTTTAAAAATAAAATGATTGGCAAAAAAAGATATAAACACGAAACCAAAAAAAATGTAAATCAACACATACTCCAAGTAAAAAAAAAACGCTGTACATACTTCCATGAAACGTTTTGGAATAATCATTAAAAAGCAAATTTTTTATTATATATTGCAACATAATAAAGGTTTATAATTTGGAGATATGACATGGGGTACATATTTTTATGGAACGTTTTGGAATAATCATTAAAAAACAATTTTTTTACTATATATTGCAAAATAATAAAGGGTTATAATTCGAAGATATGACATATGAGATGTGTGAAGAGAAAAAATACTATCATTAATTTTCATTTTGTAGCATAATTAATTAAGCAATTAAGTCTATCATGAATGCTTTTTTGTCGTTTTATGTGAGGATTTTCTTGGAATGAAAAATTTTAATTGAAAGGGGATGATGTATTTAATTTTCTTTTCATTCTTTTGATGGAATAATGTACTTTTAAAGCAATTAATGTAATTTCTATTTTGACTATTTAAAATTATTTTAAAAACAAAAGTTCAAATGCTTTCTTTACAAGTCATATAGTAAGCATCCCTTACCATATGCAAGTGAAACATTATAAAGATTCAATACTAGTTAATGACCTTTAATTTTGTATATGAGCTTATCATATGCAAAAGATAGAAATAAAGGGCTTAGTATAAATCAGTAAAGTTAACAACTAATAATATAAAGTTGGATTTTTTTTAATAAAATTGTGGTGTTGTCTATTATATGATCTTATCTAGATCGATCAAATGTTTGATTATATCCTATGAAGACACTTATGTAGTAAGAATATATTAATTTGGATTAGAACTGAAAGTTTGAGTTATCAGAGAATACTCTCATCTCTAGCTTATAAATTGATATTCCAACATTTCTTCTTTGAGCAAGATACAGGAAGCTCTATACATAACAACGTAACGGGTAAAAAGAAAATTAAACAAAATTGTTACGAACAAACAACCTCGAGAATCAAACAATGTTGGAGATAAATCAAATCTTGCGAAAGCTTTTTCGTGATGCCGCGAGTTCAGAAACAAGTGTTCTAGGCTATCAAGTAGAATTCTTGGAGAAAATGCACTGTGTACAATGAAGATGTCAATTAAACAGCTCAGGGAGTTGAACCAAGCATTAAAAAAAAAAAAAAAAAAGTTCAAATTTATCAACAAATCTTGGCAACATTTCATTCATCTTATCGTTAAAATAGATGCGGGTTATCTATGCCAATTGTCAAAGAAAATATTTGATTTCATTACCTCCTGGCTAAATTGAACTGTAATGCACCTCGGCCGCTCAGGAAAATACCTGCACAAGCAACAAATCATATTAGATATTAATTAGCATTTTATAAATAATATTAACCAACTCTGAAATGGATAGAAAAGAAAGAGCGCTGCCTCTATTGGACTCTTTGAGTATGTGCAAGAATCTCTCTATTGAACAGATATCGTTAAATAATGTTATGACAAATATCTTGACACCATCCAGCAATCATATCGTATCATAACACAAATAAACAACTGAAAAGAAGCGACTTTACCCAAATATAAGCTCCTCTCCATTGTAAATATACATTGGGGGAAAACCATCTACAAAGATTGCTCTTCGATCACTCCTCTGTATTCATCATCTAAATCCGAATCCGAATCCAAATCCAGCTTCAAATTTCTATGATCAGTCAAGTGGTTACCATACCTACTCTTCTTCAAAATCAAATTGGACTCTTTCATCAACTTTATGTACTTTTTCCTAACTCTGAGCAACGGATGCTCCTTAATAGCAGACGGGTCACAGTAAGCCTCTTTGAGAATAGCCGTACAAGTCTTGTTCCTAAAAGACAAATAAAACATATTTGGGTGTCTCTCAAATGCCTTGTGCACTTTTTGCGGCAGTCCAAAGTGCTTCTTGAGGCACAGAATCTTCTTCCTCTCTGCTGAATTCTCAACAAAGAGACTAAGCATCTCATGAAGAACCCCCACAAGTCGTTTTTCCGCCAAGTCACTATCTGAATCCAAATTCGAAAAATCCTCATAAGGTGACACATAAGGAAGCTTCTGAAACATCTCCAACCAATCCTTGATCTTCCTCTTCAACCTCAACCCTTTTATGGGGAAAAACCTAAACTCAATTGCCTCCATTGAACCTCCAAAATACACCCCTCTCTTCATTGCATTCGTTTGAACACAAGACAAGACCTTTTCATCACTTTCAACAGCCAAACCCTTTAACCCATCTCCCATATCCACAAACCTAAAAGACCCATCAAGATTCTTCTGTGGGACTTGCAAAAAATCGTCAGGCAAACCCAAATACCATTTCATTCCCTGTATTATTTTCAAAGGCAAGGCTCTATCTTTACTCATCGATATAAATCTCTTCAATCTCTCTCTCAAATCTTCCCCACAATCCTCATAAACCCTTTTCTCCTCTCTGTCAATCTCAGCAGCTTCAGGGGTTAGTCTGAACCATGGAAGATTGTACTGAAGACCCGTGAACTCTTCGAAAATTGAAGGATATCGCCTTAAGAACTTGGCAACTTTCATGGGTACATCCAATTGTAGTCCTCTTTTGGACACTTCAGAGATTGGGATACAGCCATTGGGGTCTTGGGCAATGCAGTTTTTAAGGTTCATGATGGGTTTAAGGACTATGGACTTGTGGATTTGGTCGATAGAGTCGTAGTAAGGATCTTTCTTCCATTTCATGTAGACATTGACATAGTTAGATTTCTGGAGGAAGGAAAATATTGGGTTTTTGGATTGGGAAAGAAGAACCCTTTTAATGGTTTTGGAGGATGAGTTAATGGTGAGCATTCTTTTTGATTTAATTAATCAAGGGTTTGTGAAATTTTTAAGCCTGGGCTTATATTGCTTTAGCATATGAATTTGAGAAACGAAAACCAGATTCACCTGAAAACCTGCAGATTTTGGGCCGATTAAGCTTCTAACATTCTATAACTCCAAACAATTAAAATAAATAAGTAAAAAAATAAACCATTTATAGGCTCGCTTGGTCCCTATAACATATTCTGTACAACGAAAAATGTAAACGACTACTGATTTTACACACAGGAACAAGATTAAATCCTTAAAATATCCAAAATGGGTTTCTTTGTTTTACCACGGAAAAGAAGACTAAGCAGAAAAAACACAGTATCAGAGGTAGAGAGAGAAAGGGGGGCAGAGAAGCAAACCTGTTGAGGAACGCCAAGAGGAGAGAGGGTGATGTAAGAGACATGAAAGGAAAAAAAAAAAAAAAAAAGGGGATAGCTGGCTACCAAAAAAACATACATTGTTTGGCCCTTTTTTTTTTTTTTTTATTCCAAATCGAATAAAAAACAAAAAATAAAAATACCCATCTCTGCGTTTGCATATTGCACAACTATATCCATCTCTGAAGAATTCGTTTCATACCAATGGCTTCTTTCACGACTGTTATTTTTCCAGCTCTATATTGTTGCTTCATCACCGACCTTCAGCGAGTTCCTCTTCATTTATGGGCACAAGAATCCGTCGGAGTTGCCGATAATCCCACCATCCGACAATTTGGAACCTTTGAGTGCTGCCGTGACTGAGAGCGCGAAAGGTACAGTCTTGGAGGAGTTGAATACGGGGGCTGAGCGTGAAATTACGGGTGAAGGGGAAATGGGGGAGGAAGTTAGGGTTCCGGTGGTGAGGTTGAAAATTGAGGAGGTGGCGGAGGCGAGCACGGTGGTGGTTCTGCCGATTTGTAAGGCGGATGAGAGGGAGAAGGGGTTGCAGGAGGCATCGAGGGAATGCCGGACCGAGGGGGAGTTCGGCGTGGTGGTGGCGGAAAAGGGGTGGGCCAGGTGGGTGGTGCTGCCCGCGTGGGAACCCGTGCCGGGGTGGGTTTTTTTTGTTCGCTAAACGAGATGTAAGCTTAGGCCTGTGTATTTCACCGATTCGAATTTTCAGTGTTAAATTTTTACAGTAAAAAGCTTTGAGAAAATATCACATCTAATTTTTTTTGTTACAGTAAAAAGTTCTCAAAAAAATGTCATATCTCAGCTCGAATTGAAAACTCAAATCTACGAAGTGAAAGAGGCTTTAGTTTGTTAGGAATTTTGGGAGCTCAAAATAGATTATCTAACTAGCCAAAGCTATTTTTTACGTTTGGTAAAAACATAAAAAAAAATGCTTCTGAAAGAATTTGGGGAGAATTTGAAGCCAAAATCAGAAGCTGCCTACTTCTGATTCTAGATTGTTCGGCAATCTAAAAAACCTCTTTAATGAAATTTTCGTTATTATAATTTTATCCTTGTTGAATGAAAATAATTCCAGACCCAAAAAAATTTTGCTCTTCGCAGTCCTGTTCCTCTCCTCTTCCTCCACGATCTCCCCCGCCGCTTCAACGTCGGCATGCTCAACTGCTGGAGCTCCGGCCAGATGCCGGTCACCGCCCAAACATGGCTGCCCTGGCTGAAGAACTCCGGCCTTAAGCGGCAACACAGCGTCTGTTGAGTGAAAATATTCATTAATGTTGAAATAATATTTCACACACAACATAATTTCACCTACACTAGGATTTAATTAGCATAGGAGTTTATTATTTTTAGTTCGACCCATCCAATATTATAAGAATAACCTCTTAATTACAATCTCTTGGTACAAGGGAAGACCTTTTGATTCTAGTTAAAACAGTAAATTCTATTTTCTGTGAATTTGGAAAATTTGGGTTGATTTAAAATTACGGCTGAAGTCGATGAATTTGGCCGAGTTGCCTACATACCCCATTAGGGGATCAACCCACTTGTAGTTCAAATTTTAGTTTTGAAAATTTGGATAATTCCTCGGTGTATGACCTTATGAGGAACTTACGCACTTTGAAGTTTGATTTAGTTTTGTTTTGACTTTGTCCTTTATGAGGATTTTTTTTTAGGATTGAATTTGGTCTTGAAACTGCACCTAAATTTTTGGTTGCCTACGTATCCGAGAGGGAATCGAGTCAATCGTAGTTCAAAAATTTGGTTTTGAAAATTTGGATAATTCCTCGGTGTATGACCTTATGAGGAACTTACGCACTTTGAAGTTTGATTTAGTTTTGTTTTGACTTTGTCCTTTATGAGGATTTTTTTTTAGGATTGAATTTGGTCTTGAAACTGCACCTAAATTTTAGGTTGCCTACGTATCCTTTACGGAATCAAGTCAACCGTAGTTCTTGAATTTGAATTTTGGATTTTGGGGAATTCCTCGATATATGACCATAGGAGGAATTCAAAGATGTTTTAAAATTCGATTTGGAATTTTACTTTAGAGTTTGGATTTGAGAGTTGTATTTGGATAATTCCCCGGTATATGACCTTATGAGGAATTAAAAGGATCATTTTTGAATTTGGTGTTGAGATTTTTTTTATTTGAATTTGGGATTTAAAAATTATATTTAATCACCATATGGTTTTATGAGACAATGAACTCATCTTTTTGGGCTTAGTGACCATAGAATGACCCAATTTATGCAATTTAGGGTATTTAATATTCCGATTTTTTTTGAAATTTATCCCTTATCCATTATTTTTTAATTTTAAATTTTATCATATCTAAACTGATTAATCCGATTGTATGATGTATATCCCTTTTTTTTTCGCTTAACAATTTGATTTTAAAAGGAACTTAGATTTCCCTCATCCTCATCCTTTCACACGTTTCCCTTCTTTTTGTGTGTGTGTTTGTATATGTGTGTCTATATATATATATATATATAGAGGTAAGGTCTCCGGTCAGGCACTTGAAAAGTGTCTGACCGGAATGATAGTTGTATATTTTTACATAAATTGTGTATATTTATATGTAAATCGTATATATTTACATGTAATTCGTGTATATTTAACATGATATATAACAAATCAGTCAATATACATATTTTCATGCTATGTGTTCACTAATTGTTATAAAAAATACATGTTTTAAGGATTAATATACATTATCATTTCTTATAACTTAACATACACAATTTAACATGCAAATATATACAATTTACATGTAAATATATATAATTTATGTAGAATTATATAACTACCGTTCCGATGTATATATTCTTTTCTTTGCAGACGTTGTAGAAAACGCGTGTCAGCGTCTTCTCAGTCTCCTCTTTCATATATTCATGTATGGTTTTTTTTTTTTGTGTCAAATCATATTTCTTCTGACAAAACTTTAATTGCAGAGCCCTTCTCCAATTCCAAGTAAAAAAGAAAGAGTTTGCCTTTCAGTAAAAAGAACAAAAGGGACGTTGTTGAAGGTAATTTTTTTTATTTAGCCTTTCTATCATCTTTTGTTCTAGTTCTTTGGTTGATTTTTTATTTCTCTTCTCTCTTTTCTTTCTTCAGGAAACGAAAAGAGGCCCCTACGTAAGTAAGTGGTCTCTGATTTTTGTTTGGGCTGCACTTTATAAGTCAGATTCAAAATTATAATAATATTTTAAACTGTACTATTATAGTCAGATTCATATATATAAAGATTTTAAATTTTGCAACTCCATAATTTTATAGAGTTTTAAAATTTACAACTCTATTTAATTTTTTGGAGATTCTAAAACTTACAACCTCATAATTTTATAGAGTTTAAAAATTTATAACTCTATTTAATTTTTTTGAAAGTTCTAAAACTTGCAACCTCATAATATTTTACTGGGTTCAAAAGTTTACAACCCGTATGTCTTGAAATGAATCTGACCAACAATGGCAGATAAACTTCTTATCTTGAGATAATACTTCGGTATAGAAGAAGGCTTGAGAGAAAAAAAAAACGTGTAAACAAAACATCATAATAAGATTAAAATAAATTTTTTTACCTTTTTTTTTTTTTTTTGATAATTTTCTCTACACACATTATCTCACACTTCTCTCACCTACACGGCCATACACACTGTATTTTCTTTTTCTTTGTTTCTCTCACTTCCCTTCTGCACACACGTTGCACCAAAAGTCCTCCTTTTTTCCTCTCTCTCTATTTACGTCCCCTATATGCCTATATATAGGCATTTTTGAAGCAACCCACGTTCATTTTTTTTATTATTTAAATAAGATTAATTGCTTTTCTCTTCGAGAGATTATCTCCGCACGTTATTTTTTACTCAACTCTCCGTTAACACATTTTACTCCTTTCACACACCCACTTCTTCCGAGAAGTTTTCCAACCTCCCACGTGCACGTGTAGTTTTTTCTTTTTTTTTCTTTTTTTTTTGCTTAACAGCGTCAAGTACTAGATGATGGGCTCGCTTTTGTACGACGGCGATGGGAGTGAGGTCGTTAAAGGTTCAGATCCGTAAATGGCCGAAGACTTTTTCTTGCCGTTCTTCTCCTCTGTCACAGTCTAGTTTCTCAGCTGCTCCTAAAACCCTAGTAACCATTTCTTCTTCCATCGTCGAAGGTTCATCTGAGCTTGTCTCCGCCATCGAAATCTCTCTCTTTAACAATGGCCGACCCATTGGTGATGTGGATAAGCTGTTTTGTCATTAGTGTCGTGTGATGACAAGCAACTTTCTTTAACCAGAAAAAAATTGAAATTTTTTAAATTTTCCTTTCTTGGTCCTTTCCTTTGGTGGCAGAAAAAAATATTTCAGATCTTTTTCCCTTCTTTATCTCCTTTTTGGTAGCAGGGTAATATTTTTAGTTGAAAGGTGGATTTAAATCCATGTTTCTTGTGAGGGTTCAGTCACTAATGCATGCACTTCTGAAACATTTGGATTTCAAATTCAAATTATTTTTCCCCTTATAAGTAGAAATCATAAAGGGCAAAAAGGTGGGGACAACATTGTGTAAAGTAATAGGTGAAAATACTAAATCAGTGGATAGAAACGAATAATTAGTCAACCCGTTATTAGATTTTCCTGTGAACAAGTGTTTAGACATAAGTGCACCTTATTAACAAATAACAAATAATAAGATTAGGCATTTGGGTGCTGTGAAAATAATAATAGGAATATCAAATATTTATGAGAGATATTTAATTAAATTTTGAGGACTCCTTCTGCAGGGGTGTATAGGACAGCATACGGGAAAGACAGAGAAAGAGAATGAGTTTTTGGAATGTGTTGGAAGTTTCATGTGACAATTTCCTTATGTATGTATTTTGTAATCAAATAACACATTACAGACGAGACCGAGAAAAGCGAAGTTCTCTTGTTTTGGACCCTTTTTCTGTGGGGCAGATAAAGGGGAAGGAGGGGTGGTAACAGAGAGCACTCCGCAATATTCATGCTAGGAGTCCAACATTATGGAATGAGTAGTTCATAGCTCTTTCTCAA